TGAGGATTGCCAGACGAGGTTCGACGCGTCGAAGGCGTGTATGCCTGGTTGTTCACACGGGATGTCCTCGCCGATATACTGCCATATCTTGCGTTAGCAATTGACTCACTTACAGGTGATTTATAAGCATTTCGAGAAGGTGTGAGGACCCTAAAGTAGTATACATGTTTCCAAAGGATCCTTGATAACTGGAAGGGGAATGCAATGACTATGAGCATGGGTTACTTACGCCACCGACAACTACAATCTGTCCGTCGCGGGCTGCACACGAATGTCCTGCTCGAGCGGGCGGTTCGTTACCTGATGTGTCGATCTTGATCCACGTGAATGACGGGATCGTCAGGATCCATACGTCAGTATATTGTACCTATGCGACACAGCAGTCAGTAATTGCTCGAAGTAGTATGAATATTGAAACACTTTGTTGCAAACGTAGCACGTGCGAAAGGACAGAAGAAAAGGGGGGTGTGGCTAGGAAGAAGACAAGCGTACTAACCTGTTCTCCTACTGGTAGCAGGTTCTGTCCACCGTACATATATATGTTGAAAGAGCTTGCATCAGGCGCTGAGAAGACAACAGCGCAGGGATTGACGCGCACTGAGGGCTTCTCGTCACCAGATGTCTCCTGGTGGTACCACTGACTGCTCGCAATATCGTACACGTCGATGGTAGTCATAGATGAGAAAGTGTCTGTCGTGTCGCTGTCGCCGACCACGCCACCACCAAGACCAAGCAAGATTCCACCTGGACCCCAGCCAGGTACATACATGAGGACGCCGTCCGCACGTTCGGCAAACCCGACCTGATTCTGCTCTCCTGCCCACGTGATGTTACGGTACGTGCCACTGTCTGGTGCACCGGAGTTCTGGAATGATTGGACTTGCTTGTTAGAGTAGCCAGGGTGCGTGAATTCGAAGAGACTCTTGAGGTAGACTCGAGGGATTTGGTTCGACCATCCCGGTGTTGTTGCCCAATCGACTCGGCCACCAAAGTACCAGCTCAAACCCAGTTCTGGCACTGACACGCCAGCTCCTTCAGCAGCACGTTGCACGGACTGACCCCCTGCGTCGGAGTATTGGCCAGCTGACGTTTCCGGATTTTGAAATTCGGTCCAGGTAGACGATGCGATATCGTACTGCCACGTTGAGACGGGCAATGGCAAAGTCGATGGAAAGTCGAACTCGCCTCCGTATAGAAACAGATGGTCATAGTCGTTCCAGAGATATCCTAGCGACACGGCTGGTGGGCCGGAAGGTTGCGGCATCCCACTCACAGATGGAGAACTAACATCCCATGATTTTGTCAAATCGACAATGATAAAGTCGTTGGCTATTCCGCGTTAGCTGTAGTGACCATAATGTTGAAACATTCAGAGACGTACTCCATGTGTTGGTGGTTTGATCTGTACTCGTCTTCTTTCGACCACCGTAGTAATAAAACGTACCATTCAGCACAGCGCCTATTGTTATCATTAGCATCTACTTAGTCGATTCTTAACCTGTCTGACACAACTTACTTTGCCCAGCCCACCTCTTACACACGTCCGTTGGGCTATTTGCGCGGTCTTCTAGTACAGATGTAACTATCGGTTCTCGAATTACACCCGCATCCGCGCCGTTCATTTTCACCTTTTTACGGCCGTTATTGTAGCTGATTGCAGGGAGAATGACCGCAATCAGTACAACAATCATAGCAAACCTGTGGAATCCTGCTATTGAAGCAGGCGGCGCGGTCGCGGCAGGCTTGATTTTCGGTCGTTTTTCCGGTAGCAATTTCGACAACCATTGAGACTTTTCCCGGATCGACTCCCCTCCTACAGAGTGTTTTCGCTCCGGTGCCGCTCGCGACTCTCGCCTCGTAGTGGCCTCATCACTTATCTGCTTCTCCTCAAAGTCTTGTGCACCGGTCGTGTATTCGGCGTTCTCTCCATCATTTTCATCTAGACCAATTTCTCGGAACACTGACTTCCTCCCTTTCTGAATTCTACCGCTTCGGGGAATAGCCATGTATCTCGAACCCTCTGCTAACCTGTCGGCAGTAACCTGGGAGTTGAAGCGCGGTCGCTCGTAGCTGGGGCGTTGTTCGCACAGTTCGGAAGTGCTGTGTCGAGGTCGAGTGGGCGTCATAACGAGAAGGGATTGTAAGCGTATGATTGGGTAGCTGTCATTTCTTTGTTCAAGGTTATTTTTCGTACGCTTCGCGCTGCAGCGCGTGATGCAAAATGTAAGATAAGGGTGGCGTGAGATGCATGAGGTCACAGCGGGCTTTTTAATAATTGTATGTTCTGCGAGGCATGTAAATCATTGGCAGGATAATTGATGATCGATCAACGGTTCGATAGTAGCAGTAACCGAGCCTGCATGGAAGACCCAGCAGTAAGTTGGGCAACACCCTTCAATTTTACCGTTGACAACTTTACAACAGGGGGAATGAAGTAGACCCTGGCCCAACTACATCATCGTGCCATACTTATTTAATAGGGAAGTCCTCAGTTCTAAAAACATGTTAGATAATTTGGTATGTCTACCCCAGACCGCTGTGGCAAGAGTTACCTTCTCCGTTAATCCTGTTTTGATTCCAGAGTCGTTCATTGCCATTTTAGGACCACCACTCTGAATTGGCATGATTTGATTGGTTCCCGTCGAAACAGGGACATCTCGAAAATGACGACACGACCCCCTGATCTGGTTTTACGCCCGAAAACAGTAGCAGGCTATGACCTCTCACTTGTAGCCGGTCGGGGCAGAAGCTCCAACCGATCATGCAGCGCATCGGTCTGGCCAAGATATCACAGCTGAATAATAACTACAACGTTCGATCTATTTTCAAAGCAACATACTTCAGAATTTGACAGAAATAGGAATGACGCTACAGCTAGGATTCGCCTCAATCTGCCAGTACTCCTTCAGGGCGTTAGAAGCACTGTTTGATTTCCTCTGGCCTGTGCTGCTCAAGAGTCCAATACAATCGGTCATGATCTAAAGTGAAGTGCTTGTCACAAGTTACATAAGTCATAATGCCTCTCATCATCTCATCAGCAAGTTTAGCAAATGATTAAGTCCCAGCCTGTATTTAACCTTTTTTTTTTTTTTTTTGGTCGCATCGCAATGTCTATGAGATTCAACAAACCCGGTGCACAGGCTCCCCAGCCGTTACAAAGCCGGCAACATTCGCTCTACACGTCCGACTATAATTGTCGAAAGTTTCCTCCGAATACCATGCCACATGCGGTGTCAACACTAAATTGAGACCAGCGGTGTCCGCGGCGAGCAAAACATTGTTGGTCGGTTCCGCCGGTTCCTGGGAGTAAACATCGGTAGCAGCGCCCGCGATCCTCCCTTCCTTAAGCGCCGCTACGAGAGCCTTCTCATCTACGATGCCGCCCCGTGAGACATTAATCAGCACATTGTCTGGCCTCATCATATTGAACTCAGTATCGGAGATGAGATTGAGCGTCTCGGGTGAGCGTGGTAGAACTATGACAAGGACAGTAGATTCCCGGATAACCGTCTCGAACAGGACGCGGCCTTCTTGCGCCAGAGCCCCCTTGCGTCCGGCCACGAGGGTCTTCATACCGAGCGTTTTAGCCATCATCTCGATGTTCCGCCCGATTGCACCGTAGCCGATAATGCCGAGAACCTCATCGCGACAGGTCCGTGGCGGCTTACCATCAGGTCCATTCATCGTGCTTTGCTGCGAGCCTTCAGTAGCCCATTCGCCGGCGCGCGTAAGCGAATGCGTCAGCATAATGGAGCGGCGCGTATTGAAGTATAGCGCGAGCACGTGTTCTGTGACCGTCGTGACATTACAATGCGGCGTGTTACCTACGACTATGCCGCGTGCTCGACACGCTGCCAGGTCCACGGCGTCTGTGCCAGAAGCGATTACCGATATCACTACATCAATTTTGCAGTTAGTAGATGCGTGATATACGCTAAACTATTCTTGCGAATGGGTCCTCATGGCCGCTAGTACCAGAGCAATTCGGGACAGCTAGTAGGTAGTCATACTCTTCAGTTGTGGGGTTACCTCTGAGCTCAGAATCTCGGCTGTCATCGGCAAGATAGTCATAATCACGACATCGGCATCCCGAACCCTCTCGGCCACCTGGTCCGGTCTCGTGCGCTCGTAATTCCGGAATTCGCACGTGTGAGGTGCCGGGAGAGTGAAATTAGGCAACGGACAGAAAAACGTCTCTAATGCGACGATGACCCAGTGAGTTTTTGACTTGGTCATCTTGGGAGGGCCGGTCGGTCGGTAAAGGGGTGAGCTGTAACTCTCAAATATTAATGATGGTTCAGTTCAGCCTTAAGGTAGCGCAAGGTATATTTAAGACAAAGATTTCGAAAATTACCCAGGTAAAGAGTGAGATCCCGTGGAATATGTCTTTATTCCGGGACCGGGCTTACGATATGTCTTGGAAGGGCGCATTCGCGTTGGACCCAGAAGTCCCCACATAGTCAATCAATTATATCAATCTAATTGTCAAGTTTCAAGGTGCTTGAGAAACACAACAGACGCTCTCATGTTCAAGTCCTAACTCGGTTCCTGGGGGTCTTATCTTCATAGTAAATCTAATGTTTTAATGGCTTGCTCTATGTTGGGTCGTTCCGTTCATGACTTATTGGTCCAGCCAGCCAAGGAAACTAGTCCCGGTCATTATTTGCTCTAGGAAGTATCCTATGTCTCGGGTTTTCTGTTCCAGGTGCCTGAAACATTTCTCATATGTCTTCTTACCTGCAAGACCCTTATAAGAAACCCTTAATAATGACATTATAATAAATATAAATAGGTGCACAGAGAAATAAGGTCGGCTGTCCCTAGGCCAACTAGCAGCTTTAAATACTCTTAATACCTACTTAAACTTGAGACCGACAGCCACTAGTGGCTTAAGCACAGCCACCAGCCACATAGTCCACACCCCCCTTATGGGCGCATATCAGGATCAACACACAGAGCAAGACAAGAGATGAGATAGGCCAAAAAAATGCCAAAGTTAAGGGTCTGGCCGGGGATTGAACCCGGGACCTCTCGCATGCCGCGGTTAGAACCACGATCCCAAGGAATTCCATGGGACTTAGGGTGTTCCCTAAGCGAGAATCATACCACTAGACCACCAGACCAAAGAAACAACAGGTTATTCACCTGTGGACGACAACGACAGGACTCGAACCTGTGACCCCGAAGGGATATGATGGAACTATTAGGTCAAGGACTCTAATTCTAGTCATACGCTTTAACCACTCAGCCACGTTGCCGGAAGATGCGAGTTCAAAGCCGGAATGGGTTCAAGAACGGCCTCGTTTGCGCTTTACGGGGCAGTGGGCCGGGTGGAGCTAAGTGGGTTAGTTTTGTTGTGCAGGGGCCAAAAAGGTGGGGAAGCGGCAAAGGGCAGGTACCTGAAATATATACCAAGAGTTCAAGTGTAAATAAAATCAACATCGATTAATCTAAGTTCTTATGTTTATTCATAGATTATTTGGTTTAAGAATCTAGTGTCTTTCATTAAGATATTTTAGAGAAGGTTAGATAGCGAAGGTAGAAATAGGCTAAATAAGATATTGAAGCGGTGTAGTAGGTACCTAAGGAAAAGGGTGACTCAGCCGCTGGATGGCTAAGCGAGAGAGTTTAGAGAAATAGGGGTAACAGACGTCAAGAAGGGAGACATGACAGATAAGACACATATGCACAGACACTTTTAACATGAATCGAAAGGGTTCACGTTGATCGCTAAGTCCCTCATTTTGCATACGTGATTTATATGTTTCAAGGCCACAGGAAGTGTAGCTAGAGCTTATCCGCTGGGTTTAAGTTTAGAGTTGTCAGGTTGTTTGGTATCCAGAGTGAAGTTAGGTCACCCGTAGGTCACTGGTAAGTAAAATTATAGGGTAGGGACTCAATGTTATTGATTCCTAGGGCTCCTCTAACTAGATCTAAGGGGGGAACCCAACTATTATATACATGAAATAAAGCTATGGCCACCCTGCTAGGTCCCTTCTTACTCGATGTGACCCTAGACCCTAACAAGAGTGCATGTTCAATATCTAATACCTACAAGATCAATTGATCAAATTTTACATGATGTAGCCTACGCAGTCACATAGTAGGTAGATAGAAAGGGGTCAGTAGCTACGAAGGTGTATTGATCAAATGGCCTCTGGCCTTTCCAACAGGTTGTTAGGAGGGATAGCCTGAGTGTATAGACGAAGCCTAATAGGTATTATACACGATGGTGTCACCTATGCACCTGACAGTGTCTCAACATGTTATATTGTTTTAAATCACTATTCAGGGTTTCCCCTTCCCGCATCAACCCGTCGACTTCTTCCTAGCAGATCATGACATGCTCTTCAGTTACCCTTCGCAGTCAAGCGAGTCTCACACAACTGGAGTTCACCGTAATACTTCTTGTACTCCGGGACAGCAGCAAAGGCTTGTATGTATGCAGTCAGATTGGGAAGCTCCTTGCGTGTCTCAACATCAAGAAAGTACTGGAAGGCGGAGTACAAGACGCTGGTAACCATGAGATCGGCCATTGTCAGCTTATCTCCGACAAGGTGCTTCTTGCCGCCCTGTAGGACCGTTTCAAGGTACTTGGCGTTTCGCAACAAGGCGTTGACGTGGAAATCAAAAGCCTGTTCATTCACAGGGTAGTATTTGACTGTCCGTACGAGAAATTAGTTCCTAGTAATCCATGGGGAGGGACTGGCCAAATAATGATTATGGATTAGTATCACTTACAGACCACCATAGCAAGTGGCATGAAGCAGTTGGTAAACAACTCGCCCTCAGCGTAGGTTGACCACTGCGTAATGAGGGCTCGTGTCTTTTCATCTGTGAAACAGAAAGAGTTAGTCCTATTGGCGCTTACAGGGGATTGAGTTGCATGCCTTCACCAAGAAGCTGACCAGCTTTCGGGCCGGCCTGCGCTATGTAGGAAGCGATGGCAATGCTCTCAGTCAGGCAAAACCCGTCGGCACTCTCAAACGCGGGGACCTTGCCAAGTGGAAATTTAGCCAAGAACTCCGGGGTTCTGTTGGTCTCCCGCATTGTGAATGCCGGGATATCTATCTCTAGACCATTGATATCGGCCACTATCAACGCCTAGTCGTATCATTAGCACACGTTCATGTGAGGAGAACAAGTAAATTAGTGTCTTTCTTACCCGATTGACGCGAGGGTTGTTAGCGTATGTCCAGATTGTGCCAAAGGGAGCCATGTTGAAAGTTCGTGAAGTTTTGACGTTGGCGATTAGTTCAGTTAGAATTTCCTAAAAGGTCTTAGAAAGATGTTGTAAGTATGAGATAACTATGTTGCAATCGTGAGTGGTGTGGACTAGACTAGGAGACAGGATTTGAAGGTCGGGGTACTTGCCTTTTAAAGTAGCTTCTCAACAGTGAGTAGTCTATAGATTATAATATTGCCGATATCCGATTTGTCAGCTGCTACCCTCACGTAAATTTATGTACTCTCACGTCAAGCGTGGCAGTAGGACTTGCCGCAGCCCAATTCTCCGACCGAGAAATTGTCAAAGTGGCTAGATGAACGGCTCCAATACTAGACAAGCGAGACCCATCCTCCCCACCAAGCTGGTAGTTCCGACTAGCAGCCGGACTTGTTCTATGCAGTTAGTGGTACTCCGGCACTGAAGATTCTTAATAATTTTTCTTGACGCTTGAATATTAGGTTCCCTCTGTCTCGCTGTGCTAAAGCACTATAGCTAACTTCGACATACGCCCTACCCTACTAGACAATATGCTATGCCGGGACAGGGGTGTAGAGGAGGCAGTACAAATATATAAATAGCTACATACCGTCTACTTTCTCTCGTGATGCACATAATTACACTTCAAACAGAACTTTCTCCTTTAACTCCGCCCAGGTCCCTGCAATGCAACGTTATTAGGTCTCTGATGTAAATCTTCGTTGTTTTATTTTCCCGTCTTCTTACCTACATTGACACTGATTATACATCCCTTGTATCCCACTGCAACGATAGAAGTCCGTAAGGGATCGGAGCTAAAGCTAGACAGAGCCGCAAACAAGGGGTCCTTCTTATCAAGACAGCCCTACCCACTCACCTAAATGCTAACTTACATCTATGCCGAAACAGACAGCGAAACTACTCTTCGAGGTCATATAAACGTGCTACCGTGTACTTATGTTCTTCTTATTCCGAAAGTTGTTGTTTCGTCTTGCATATTGTGCTCTCTCTAGGTTTGCGGTATAACAACTTGTCCGTATTTGTAAGCTGAATGAGACACGGATGGTTTGAGCTCACCTCACCGCTCTCTGGTTCGCTGTAAGAGAGCCGCCAGTGCCTATGCCTATCGGAACACTATTACCAATCAGGGGCATACAGATCGGCACCGGGATCATCGATATCCCTACTCAGGACTTGGCGCTAATGGGCATTATGGGTTGTAGGGGCCGAGATCAAGTGTCACGGAATTCCGGGAATTATGGGGATATGCCCCGGGATACCGATCACTTTTTTCGGCAGGATCAGTCGCCATGAATGATGTAAGTGTTTCAAGCAAGGATGGAGTAAATACGGCCCAACAATATCCCGGCCGTACACAACTTGATGTCCTGTGTAATTCATCAATGATCCTATGAGAAAATTCAATACATTCAGATGTAGTGGCCTCTGTACTGAGTCAAGCATAGAATTGCCTCCAACACTAATAGCCTAGACCATGCAGCACTGACAGGGTGAGGAACTAGCCTAGTCTACATTGAAACTAATTAGTTTTCGCTAATCTCTGTATCGTCTCTATCTTATCCTGGCGGAGATCTGCCAATCATTTTCCATTACACATTGTAGGAGGCAGGGTAGGCAAAGGACGTGGCTGCAAACAGCCGCGTTGTGATCGCAATTACCGCTCGCCGAACAAATCGAAGATTAAAAAATGACAGTTATCGAGATTGACGTTGTTTCCGACTTCGTCTGTGCTGTACGTGCCTATCGGCTCCCTAGACTAGCTAGGTAAAAACACCTGCATTGACAATGCTCTCAGTGGTGCTACATTGGGAAGCGAAAGTTGGAGAGTGCCATCGCGTTATATCAGAAAGTCTACCCAGGAGGAAAACATGACATCTTCAAGATCAACTGGCGGCCATACTATCTGGGTTACAATAAGTCTGGCTGTAGTGTTGAGAAGAGCGAGCTTGCCAAGATCAAGTTAGCGGACTGGAGCGAAGAAAAGAAAGTTACTGCAACGAAGCGTGTAGAACAAGCCGGACGTGCCGTGGGAATTTATTTTAAGGACGGCGGCAAGATCGGGCCTCATACGAGAGATGCGCACCGCCTAGTGTATCCCAGTCGGGGAAAATCACCGGAGCTCACGAATGCGCTCGTTGAAAAGATATTCGAGGCCTACCATGAGCTTGAGAAAGACATCTCGTCGTTCGATGTGCTACGGGACATTGCGCTGCAAGCTGGCTTTGAGAAATGCGAGATAGACGAGTGGCTGTCTTCCAATACCGCCGCTGGCAGTGTTGATGAAGAAGCTAAAGTATTCCGCGAGGAAGTCACAGGTTCCGGTGTCCCATGTTACATTATGCAGGATATTTATCGTCTTGACGGCGCTCAGGATGCAGACGATTTCATGGAGATTTTCGTCAGGCTGAAGGAAGGCAAACAAGCCTCTGACTAGATTATCTCAGTAACACAGAATAAAACGGGTCCTGGCATTGACGTTCTTCTGATAATGATATCTAACCCCTCCCTTTCCTCCCTAAAATACAGTGCCCAAGTATCTAGATACTCAATATAGCCTGAATTTTTTATTATTCTCGCCTAAACTTCAGTACAGGATCAGCTTCGCTGGCGGCAAGCTGAACTCGCATACCCTTCGCGGCGTGCTCGACTCTTTCAGCAGTCTCAGGCTGATCAATGTGAACCCCCACTAACTCGTCATCTAGTCCGTGGAATAGAAGAGCGAGCGCCGAACTTTTGAATAACGGGTGCTTCATGTTGACGAAGATCGCGAAGGCCAACAGCAAAGAGGTAATAAGAACGGTTGCCGCAGGAAGAATCGTCCAGGGCCAACGGACATGAATGTAAATCTCTCTGGCGTGTGCAATGCCGCGGAGCATGGTCGCATTCTTGTTATCTCCTGGATTTGTTGACCTTATTTGATTTGAAAGCGTTGTAGCTAAATTGACTGTAAGGTTCTGGAAGTCCGCTGTATAAAGGTAGTTTGCCAGGTCGATCGTGTTAACTTGCGGTGAGTACGGTGCCACGTTAATCACC